TTTGCCGAAAGTCAAAGAAGGGACTGGGCAGACCATTTGAGTGAACTCGCGTTTGCAATCCGAACCTCCGAGAGTCGCTCTACTGGTTTCTCTCCCGCCTTCCTTAATTTCGAAAGGGAGTTGGCAAATCCGGTGACCAGTGTCATGCAATGCCAGCTCAGAGACGAGAAAGAACCTGCAGACTGTTCTGCTTATGCTTCCACACTTCGGGACAGGCTTTGTCGAGCTCTCAGTAGAGCGAGGCAGAGTTTGGCATCGGCCAGGGCCGAGCAAAAGGCCCAGTACGACCGAAAACGTCGCCACCTTTCATTTAAGGTAGGTGACCTCGTCCTGAAGTGCAACCACGCTCTTAGCGACGCGAGCAAGGGTTTCTCAACTTCGCTCGCTCCGAAGTGGCTTGGTCCGTACCCAGTGGAGAAAGCTTGGACTCCACTCGCGTACTTGCTGAAAGACCCGCTTTCGGGAAAACTCAGCCGTGCCCACATCGCAGACCTGAAAGCCTTTGCATCAAGGTCTGACGAGCCTGCGCCAGCGCCCAGTGGCTCTTCGCGGAAGCAACGGCACACACCCGGCGCGGCGGAGCGCATTCGGACCACGCACCGGTATAATCTGAGAAAGCGGTCACCTTAGTGATTTCGCGCCGAACGGCGGGCTTATTTCCGCAACCGAAGGCCCTGCTCTTTACTGTCTAGTCTCAGTTAGCTAACTTCTTTACAGCCAGTGCTTGCAAAGAAGTCGGTTCCGCCCAGTCACTGCTGCTGATTGATTGTCTGTTGAGCGTTCATGTTTTCTTGATTTTTTTTCCCCGTTTTTTTTTTTTTTGCACTGCGGAGGGGTAGCGACCGGTTACTCGCGGGAGCATTCGAGGACGCTCTGGTGGTGCAGGTGTGTGTGTCTGTGTGGTGCGGAGAAGGGGAAGAACCGGGTCAACGACCCCTACGTAAACATAGGTGGCGCTGGTTGTCAGTGAGGCATCGGGGAAAGCCGGAGACTGCCAGCGGTGCGCCATTCTTGTTCTGGTGCCGGTCGTCGTGGTCACATGCCCTTCAGCGACATGCCCTCCAGCCAGAAGTCGACACGGCGGGCGCCTCGGCGGCCAGAACCTTCCACCTCGGCACCACCCAAGTCCACCAGGCGGGCGTCCCGGCGGCGGGGATCGACAACTTTGACACCGCCACCGGTCCCCAAAACGCCAAGGCGGAGCGTGGCCACGTGGGCGCGGCAGGAGGGGCAGGAGGTCTCACGCTACTTTGTGAGCGACGCACCGTGGAAGACGCAGCGGCGTGTTCGGCGCGACCTGCCGCTGGACCATGTCCCGTGGCCATTCCGGGGCTGCACACTGGCGGAAGGCGAGAAGGCAGCTGGAGGCGCCCAACTACCTACCGATGCAGCGGTGGGGTTCTGCACCACGTGCCGCATGACCGTGCGCTTTAAGTGCCACTACAAGGGTGCCATACACGTGGCGCGGACAAAGGCGGCCGCTGAGGGGATGGCCACCGAGAGGAAGGCGTCAAATCCAGCCCCGCTGAGCCAGCGCTCGGACACGGAACTGGCGGCCCTGTGCCGACAGCGAATGGGGGAGGGCCCCCATTTCGCGGCACTACTGTCAGGGCTGCCACCACCCGCAGCCACCGACAGACCACCTATGGACAGCGTCGCCACAAAGGACGTCGACCGTCTTTTAGAACCGTAAGGCCACGCGGAGCCTCCCCCCCCCCCAAGAACACTGCAGCAGGCAAAATATGTGTTTTTTTGTATTTCTCATGTGTATTGTGTGTTGTTTTATTTTTTTCCTTCAGCAGCAGTTGCAGAGCGGGGCTGAGGCTAGCTGTTGCCCATTGCATGACGCCTTTGTATGTATGGGCGACGACCGGCTGCCTTTGCAGACCGGTATATAGGGTGAATTAAGGAGAGGAGGATGTGGGGATCTGAGGCGCGCCTGCGACCATTTCGCGGGCATTCCGCCGCACGGCCACACCCTTTTGCTTTTCCTGCTCTGATAACGACGCATGGCGATAGATGGTGCCACGTGCGGGCACGGCACGCGGTACGGGCGTGCCGAGGGAGCGCTCTCTTCTCCGTGGTCAGCACCGGGTAAGCACGTGTTTTCCTTCGTCCGCGTCCCCTTTGGGAATCGCGGACTGTAGCCTGCCCGGGGTGGCCTTGGGCACCCCGGCAGGCGTGTTTACTTGAGTGCTGGCTTCGGTAGCGTACGCTAAGCCCAGAGCGTTGCCTAGTGCTTGAAGTGGTCGTACCACAACGAGCCGCACTTGCCGTAGGCCTACGCGTACGAGGTTTGCCCTAACACTCGCGACCAGGCCCATTGGCCATCGTGAGAGTGCGCGGCATAGCCGCGAGGGACCTTTTCCCGACCGGCGTGTCAAAGCCCGCCATTGCCAGCTGCGACGTGCTCGCGGTTTTCCCTTTATTGTGAACGTCCGCGTGCGGGTGCCTTTGCTACCCCCGTCCCGGGAGCGGACATTGTACTGTTGTTCAGGGTGCCGCCAGAGGCAATAAAGTGTTGTGTATTTTTGCATTAGAACACTGTCTGCTAGCCGCGCCGCGCTAAACGCCTTATTAGTTGAGCGCGCGCGGAGCGGTGCGCTACATGCGAGTAAACGGAGTAGCGGCCCTGTGGCTCGCTAAGCATGAACCCGCGGTGATCGTCCGCTGCAGTTAGTAGCAGGGGTCACCATAACGGAGATGCCTACTTGGCTTCGGTGCGTGGCCGGCCAGTAATTTTCTACGTTTACCGACACTTGGCCGGATCATGGAGGCCATAATCGAAAGACCGTCATGAAAGCCATCGCCAGCATCGAAAGTCTCCTGCATCTAGGACACCTCCAAATAAGTGAGTTGCGGAATATACACAACGTTTTGACTAACCAGTTTGAGCTTCTCAAAGGAATTGATAAACAGATAGAAGACATGGTGAATATCGGCCACTTAGAAGCCGAAATGGAGGAAGCCGACGTTTATGTGCATAAGATTATTCTGGCAAAGGTAAAGGCTGAATATAAGATTGAAGATGCGCTAAAGTCTCGACAGGCTCACTTGGACAGGATAAAGCAAAGGATCAGAACAAAGTTTCAAGCGGAAGTGCTCTGTTCGCCTGTGGCGTAACCATCTAGCCAACGCTTTATCGATTGTGATATTGTCACACAGTAGGTTAATGGCCCAACCCCACGATAGATAGAACAATGTGTTGGAAGAAGAGAAACCAATGTTTTTGCTACAGAGAATACAACATGGAGGACCACCAATGAAGAATTATTTGAACATCTAGAGACCTATTCGATGCCTTCAGAGCCCTCGTCAACGTTCAATGACCGTCAACTTAACATGAGAGTGGCTGCTCGGGTGAGAGTGGGCAAAGAGACTTCTACAATCGAATAGCGTGATGCCTTTGGAAATTCAGGAGACATTGCAGAAGATACCAAAAATAAGTACTCACTGAGGTTGGCAATGTCCACTGTAAGGCAGTCCTCAATGCTTTCCTTACATGTTACTGGAGGAGTCAAGCCACAGCAACAAGCGGGAGAAAATAGAAGACAAAATGGAAAGGTTGCGAGAAAACAGAAGCCTACTGCCTATAAAGATCATGAGTGTAGCTCTTCGAGAAAACTACTGACACCGAGGAAGACAACGAAGTGGATCGTGCGGGCTGCATCACTGCCAATGCCCAAGCCGAGGCGGAGGAAGAAGGCAGGTGCTCACAAGGTAAATTCAGCTAAGACGAGAAAGCCACAGAAGATGTTTTTCAAGAAAGGCTGCCTCACATTTTCATGTGACAGCCTTCATTGCAAATTTTTATCACGAGGAATGTTGATCAGAGACAGCGCAAGCTCAGCACGGTCAATTCAGCTAAGACGAGAAAGCCACAGAAGATGTTTTTCAAGAAAGGCTGCCTCAGATTTTCATGTGACAGCCTTCATTGCAAATTTTTATCCCGAGGAATATTGATCAGAGACAGCGCAAGCTCAGCACGGTCAACACGCTCAGAAGCATGAGCCTGGAACAAGCGTCGAAAGCACCGCTGGAAGATCAAGTGAGGGAGAAGACCCGGATGACACTGCTAGGACTGACGTGAAACTTTCACTAATACTGACGAACATTTTGTACTTGGACTCATGTGAGCATTCAGTTTTCTTTGTCGTCGCGCGCCAGTGGGGGGCGCGGAGGATGTTAAATATTGTGTGAACGACAAAGAGCGCCACTATCATCATTAGGATTAGGGCAGGATTCAGAATAAAAAAGAGGTAGATGGGTGGGCTTCGCCATGGGCACAGCAGCTCCTTCCTTTTCTCTACAGTTGGCGCAGAGTAATGCGTGGCCGGATAAGTTCCCCGAAACCACAGTAGAGGCATGGATGCCATCCACTGCTGGTGGGATCGATACTTGCCGCGACGGTTGCCTGGCAGAGTACATCAGCGAGAAAACGGCACGGCATTCCTCAGGTAGTCCTGGCAGAGCTGGGGATGTAGGGACGGCATGCCCTGTCGTGAACGGCTACGGCAGCAGTGGTGCGGAACCGCCAAGGAGGCTTGACGCCGTTCTCGTACGGATGTGGCAGAGGAGGCAGGTGAGCAGGCACCGAGGAGGCCTTGACGGCGTCCTCAAGCTCGGCTTATCGCGGCTGCATGCTGGCGGGTGCCACGGACGAGGAATCGAAGACGTAGCACTACGGAGACTGCGCCATTGTAATGGAATAAACGAGACAGAAATAGCACCCTTGCTGCGGGCCAGCTATTCTTATTCTCCACTTCCTCTTTCTTTGCTTCTTTAGCCTAGAATGCGTGCCAGATGCCACAGCGCCGGTGTCGTTCTTCCCTATCACACTGGTTAAAATTCCTTGTTTTGAAAAAATCAGCACAAAAGCCACAAGGTCCGTGCAGCATGGAACATTCAATTCTTACCTGAATCTATTCTTAGAAAAAGGGGTCACCGTAGAGCACACCTAACATGCAATTGATAGCAACGGAAGTTCAATTAGCACCTACCCGGCAGTGGTCTTATATCCAAGTTGAGGGGTGCACAGAGTGTGCGAAGCCGGTTCAGTTCTTGGTGTCCCGTAACCAGTGTCACTGCCTGACCTGCTGTCCCTGTAAGCAGACAAGGCGGTCAACACACACCCTTGTACCGTACTAAAACATAGTGAACCAAAGCCATGCAATAAGGAGAGAAAATATTACACATAGTTCAAATTCCCAAGTAATGGTAGGAGTTGACAGACGTCATACCTCATTCTAAACAGGCTCAATGAACAAGAACAGGTGCATCAGAAAGGCTTGCCGACATTTTCATAAATCAAAATACTGTGACGTGGGCTTCACGGCATTGCCACTACACATACTGTTAGCCGGTTCCTCTTGATCATGCAGGTTTTTGCCCGCATCATCGCCGATGTGCTCGTGTCTGCCTTTTTGGCAGCCTTGTCTACCACTTTGGGAAAATGTTCGCCTTCTCTGTATCGCCCATGCTTCAGGGCTTTCAGCAAAGCCTCTACCCCCGTTCAGTGGATTACCCATATCAACCCAGCTGCCCTATAGCCGTCGACAACATCGTATCCGCAGCCTATAAAGCAACAACCACCGTCTGCCACGCACTGTGGGCTTCGCAGACCCATATGCACACCACTATGCAGGCCACTGCATTTGCCTTCTCCCTGTCGCCCATGCTTCAGGACGTTCGCCAGCACCTTTCATCAATCAAAGTGGCCCTATCGCCGTCGACAACATCGTATGCACAGCTTATAAAGCAGCAACCACCATATGCCGCACACTGTGGGTTTCGCAGCTGTGCCACTACGCGGACCGCTAACCCGTCACTCCTGATCATGCAGGATGATAGTTCGTCTCAAGCTCACAGTGCTGCTGTTTACTTATTTTTGAGTATATTGATGTCATGCACACTTTGCTACTACTATCAGGGAATGATGAGATAAACTCTGGTCCTGAGAAGGTCACCCTCAAAGGTCTTGACAAGTTATCTGCTGGCCAGGCCACTTTAATATCTGAGATGCAGAGTCTCAAAAACCAGCTAGTGAGCACGAACAACCCAATCGCCAATCTAAGCACTCACCTCACAGACCTAGAAAGTCGTTGCTAAAATCTGTCAACTCTCCAAATAGCAGTAGACACCCTTAACTCTAAGATGGGTCAACTAACCCATTGTATGTGTGACATGGACGGCCAAATTGACGACCTAAAAAATCGTTCTCGGTGCAATAACATAATATTGCCACGTGGTCTGCTTGGGTGAAATCTATTAGCGGAAGAGGAAAAAAAAGTTCTACCTGAGCTACTGCTCGGCTAATCTGCTCAATGAGCCTTATAAAAGCAAGTTTTTTGTCAGAAACGTGACAAGGCTGGTGGAGGTGCTGGGTACAGCAACTCACGGTCCACCCGATGCACAAGACCCCACTCAGCAGCCGCAACACAAGCCTTGCACCTGCGGACACCCCTGTTCACAAAACAAGCTGCTGTCAACGAGGCATACTGCCTGACACACTGACTACTGAGGCAACAACTATGATTTCAACCCAAGCTGCTGTGCAAGCACCGACACCTTCTACGCCGATCTACTGCACCGTCCATAACCCGCTCATGCTTAGCCCCTTTCATGGAGAGCAGGGTGAATTAAACACGTTGCAGCGATCAATTTCTGGAGCTCCGACACCTTCTACGCTGGAGTTCCGGAGCTTCGCGGCATTGTGACTTGCTTGAAGGACAGAGCCAAGAAGTGGTTTCTGATCAGGGTTGATGTTCTGACACCTTGGCGCGAGTTCCAGCATCACCTTCTGGAGACCTAGAAGAGTCCCGACCGGCGCGAACGGGCGGAGCGTGCACTACAATCACACATCCGGATGACGAACGAGACCGTCTCAATGTACGTCGAAGACATGACACGGCTTTTCAAGCAGGCGGGTCCTGCTATGGCAGATGAAAAAAAGTTGCGTCACCTTATGCGTGGTGTGAAGGAACAACTTTTTGCTGGTTGGTGCATAGTCTTCCCAAGAGTGTAGCTGAGTTCTTTACTGAAGCGGCAACAATGAAGCAAGTACTGGACCAATGGTCTCCCCTGTTTGACAGTCAAGTGACTGCGGCATCCTCTCCCGAATTTTTCGCCACCCCTGAGAGCAAGGGCACCGAGTGGATTCTTGAGATCATCCGCTCTGTCGTCCGCAAAGAAATGAAAAAGATGTACGGGACAAGGTAAACCAATGTCGGTTTTATCACCAGTGTCATCCGTGACGAGGTCTAGCAGGTGCTGCACGTCCATTGCTGTTCCACCGATGTCAGATGATCTGGAAATGGCTCCTGTGTCTACTGACAGTCGCCGTCGTACTTAGCAAAAGCCTTGTGATTCGTCACGCCCCTGACAGACAATGCCGCACGTCCCGATCCAGCTAATGCCGCACAGTATCGTTCCAGACAATCATGCCATCAGTCGCGATTCAGTCAGCACACGCTTGTTCAGACTTCGATGGTCGCCGAGCACCGACGCGCAAGTCTGACCTCTGGCATACGTCGGACAGACGACCCTACTGCTTTCGTTGTGATGAGGCTGGTCACATTTACCGGGAATAGCCATACCAGCAACTTGGACTGCGTGATGATTGATTGATATGTGGGGTTTAACGTCCCAAAACCACTATATGATTATGAAAGACGCCGTAGTGGAGGGCTCCGGAAATTTAGACCACCTGGGGTTCTTTAACGTGCACCCAAATCTGAGCACACGGGCCTACAACATTTCCGCCTCCATCGGAAATGCAGCCGCCGCAGCCGGGATTCGAACCCGCGCCCTGCGGGTCAGCAACCGAGTACCTTAGCCACTAGACCACCGCCGCGGGGCATTGGACTGCGTGGGTATTCCGTTATATGACCCCGTCCCCGAATTGGTCAAAGGCGAAGAGAAATCTAAGAGTATCTCGAACAGCAGCCTGCACCCTTTACACGACGCCAATTACATCCCCATCGCCGAGGAGACCCGCAGCCACTGGGCCACGTTTTGAGGTGACGGCACGGGGACGCTCCCCGAGCCCTCGTCGGGAAAACTGAAGGCACCTGCCTTTGGGGGCAAGGTCGCTGAAACTCAAAGTGCGGAAAACTTCTTATTGACGCTTGCATGCAACGCCGAAGGCATTTCGTCAGAGATTGAGCGCAGTACCAAAGAAACGCCGACCGAGTGTCACTAGACACGCCTGCGCTGATTGACAGTTTTCAGGTCGATGCCATAGTAGACACTGGCGCAGACTATTCTATCATCAGCGGGAGGCTAGCAGAAATACCTCAGGAAAGTGATTATGCCGTGAAATGGAACGCGAATTCAAACAGCCAGAGGACACGTTGTAACACCACTGGGTCGCTGTACAGCAAAAGTGAAAATTCGTGCGTCAACGTTTGTAGCCACCTGCCTCGTTCTTTGCAACTGTTCACGTCGGCTGATTATCGGCATGGACTTCCTTCGAGAGCATGGTGCCATCATAAATCTCCGTGAGCGCATCGCGACCTTCTCGACTCAAGGCGCAACAGATTGAGACACTGACAACTGCCGTAGACCTGCGCTGCGTATGGCTGACAGTGTGATGCTGGCGCCTCGAGCGACTGTTTCCATCAAAGTCACGTGTAAAGACCTTCGAGACGGTGGCATGGTGGTCAAAAGAACCTATCACTTCTGCTGCTCCAAGGTGTATGCGCTGCCCGAAGTGTTGTGTGTCCGTGACCGACAGTGACAGATACTAGTAACGAATTTCAACTACAAACGCCAGCATATTTTTTGTGGAACCGCCGTAGCCTATGGAAACCCTGTTGCCGATGTCACGGAGTGCTTCGCATCCGAGGAAACGCGTGAGGATGAGAAATTTCTCGACCCCATCAACATTAATTCGATGCTGTCCGAAGAGAGGAAGGCTGCACTTCGTGACCTTTTAAGTGAGTTTCAATCTTTCTTCGCCTCTTCCTCCAAAGTCCGTAAAACACACCTCACAAAGCATGGAATTATTATCGAAGATGACGTCCGCCCCATCCAGCAGCAGCCTAATCGCATTTCTACCAAAGGACATGAGGCTATCCAGACACAAGAAAAACAGATGCTTGAAGACAGGGTTATTCAGCCATGCAGCAGTCCTTGGTTCATGCCAGTCGTCCTAGTCAAGAAAAAGTACAGAACACTGCGATTCTGTACTGACTACAGGAAGCTGAATAGCATCACGAAAAAAGATGTCTACCCGTTTTCACCGGTCGATGACTCTCTCGACAGGTTACGTCACGCGAAGTATTTTTCGTCCATCGGTTTAAAAAGTGGCTATTGGCAGATTGATGTTGTGAGAATTGGGGCTAGCTCGCTGCCTTTGTGCGGGCTTTGCCGCCTCTTTTCCCGTTCTCATGTCCCGACATGACTCCCTCCTCCGCTGTCTGCCGTGCTGGGACAGCAGAGTGACGTTTAACCCCTCTCTCCCGGTAGCGGATGTCGACTGTGGCGCCGCGCGCCGAGTCTCCCGAGAGGTTTTGTGCGCGCGCATCAGGAGTGGGGAGACCTCTCTGGGGACGACATGAGGGTAAGCAAGCTTTTTTTTTTTCCATCCGTCAGCTCCCTTTGGGGTTCGTTTGGACTTCGCCAACAGCGCCTTACGCCCGCGGCAAACGCTTACTTTATGTCGGCCCCCTTCCCCCCTTTCCAAACGCTAGACTGAAGAGTGGTGCTGGTCAACGCGAGTGCCTTTGCCCTCGCTCGAGCGACCGGGCCTTGGTCCCGGTTTCTCCGTGAATCACTTTTACCACGGAGACGTGCTCGTGGCACCCTGTGTTGTACTTTTCACCCGTGGCATGGATAAGCCCATTTGCTTTCCCGCCGCACCTTTGCAACGGGCTGTACTGCGTTTTGGTGTTGCCACAGACAATAAAGTGTTGTGACATTGAGCAGTATCGTGTTCGCACCATGGCGACGATTAACGCGTGCCCTGCGGCTCGCTACGAACGGACCCACGCTGGTGGCCGTACTCCTTCAAGATACGTGTCATTACACTGGTGCCCAACGCGGTATCAGAAGCTCTAAACTTTTGACTGCTCTTAGCGAGTCAGTTAGCCTGCGCGATTCG